CTATAACACGTATACCAAATTTAAAGCAAATCTGGACCCTATGTACAATTTTTTTGACTAGATCGATCCACTTCCCGAAAAAAAGCAATCAGATATGCTAATCTAGGCAAAAAGCTACCAACGTAAAAAATTTTAAGCAAATCGGACCATAAATACGATTTTTCGAAAAGATCGATCCCTGGTCCACTTCCCGGAAAAAAAAGAATCAGATATGCTAATCTAGGCAAAAAGCTACCCATCACTGAGGGGAAAAATTTTTCCACAGAGCCCGTTAAGTTCATGGATTAATTCATGCCTTAATCATTGCCCTGAAATGCAAGCACTTCAGTACCAAAGGCAGTGTGGGGCGGACACACTTACCACCTCGCCAGCCAGACTTGCTTGACCAGCTCGAGTCACGCAACCTACTAAACATACCAGAATACACATGCTTGACCGCACAACTAGTAAGATTTGCCTTCTTCTTTTACACTTTTCCACGGTTCACCACAAAATTTACACCGTGTTTTACAACATTTCCGACATTGTCAACGTACCTTCACGTCTTCCACATTTTCCAACATTTTCCAACAGTTTTCAACATTTTCGCCCAGCTCATTTCCTCATTCATTCTGCTGATCTCGCTAATCTCACAGGTCCTACTAGCCATACTGGGGAGCGACTTCCAGCCCGGGTCGACAATAGGCATGGAAATTGCTCCTTTTCAGGTTTTCTACACCCGTTCGAATAGCTTGACGAGCCACATTCTTCCTTGCAAATCTTACCAGCTGTACGATCTTACATGTACATCTAGCCTGCCTTTTGGCCTTGTTCGTCTCACTAGTTTTGCTTATCTAGCCAACGAACACACTCCAGGGACATCTGATCGCCCGCGGAACCTTTTTTATTTAAAAGTCTTAGGTATGACTTTCGAAAGCCGAAGACTCTTCTACTAATTGAGCCTCCGACCGACTCAGGATTGATAGCCTTTGACTGGGGTACCCGGGATTGTGACACCCGTAGCCTCGCAAACGCGAAACCCCCCTGAGTTTGTTGGTACGGTAATCTCCACATAGGAAACTGCGTAAGCACATGTCCTACACAGGTTCCCATGCGGAGCATCCCTGTTAGTTCATGCTGACATGGAAGCCCCTAAGGGCCACTTAAGATCTAGCCCCGCGACAAGGACACCAACGCGCTAAATGCTGTGCTTTTACCGTGTCATTTATGTAGTATAATTTACCAACACCCTCCGCTGACGTGCGCATTCACACCAGGACGTCTGCAGAAAAGTTCACCATCCGCCACAGACAGTCCCTGTGGTAGGCTTCGTTTTTCAGCGTATGACCCTTGGTCTGGTGTTACCAACACAAAAGTCAAATTTTAATTCATCGCAAAATAGCATTGAGTCCGGTTGCATACCTTAACCTCGGGATTTTTTTTTTGTAAAACAGTAAGATTCTACACAAAAAAAAGATTGTGCAACTTAATCCAACAATAGTTTGAATAGCAATTGTAACCCAATTTTTGTAATTTTTTCCTGGTCCAGTCAAGGCTCACCTGTTTCTCGATTCTGTCAGACCATACTGTAGACAAATTTTTAACCGCATTTCGTCGATTCTTCTTTATGAGTGAGGTACAAATGCCCAAATCGCGTGGTGTTATTTTCGATATGCGGTGGTTAGGGCAAGTACTTGCCTTTCCAATAGGTATGCTAGCAGATAGAACACTCGTTCCTACACATGTTCTGCCGGATATGCGTGTACAGTACTATTTATGAAAATTTTACGAACTAAGAAACAAAAGTCGTTTGGCTTTACATAGAAGAGGGATACATACCAGGGATGTTGCGAATGTGGAATTTTAGACATCTGCGGATGCGAATGCGGATGCGGATGTTTAAACGCTAACATCCGCGGATGCGGATGCGAATGCGGATGTCAAGTATTTTTATACCCGAGCGCACTTGTGCACAAGGGTTTTATAAATTTGTTCACATAACGGTTGTTCGAGAAAGATATAGACAAATATATACATAAATGATCAGAATGAAAAGAGAAATCTATTAAGCGGTGACTGTCTGTCCGTCCGTCTGTGCACACGATAACTCGAGTACAAATTGAGATATCTTAACGAAACTGGGTATGTGTACTTCTTTTGAGCGGTGGACGGATGGTACTGAAAACGGGCAAAATCAGACGATAACCACGCCCACCTCCCATAAGACGGCAGTTTTGAGAAATGCGAAAACTGCGATATTTTATTAACTACTGAAGCTTAGTCACTCAAAATTAATATTTACAATAATTTTTAGGCGAAAAATAAGAATATTATAAATTTTTGGAAAATGGGCGTATCTATATAAGTTTATCTCATTACATCTAACTGAACGTTCTACCGAAGATGTTTGAAATAGACGTAAAACCACCACTTCTTACCATGTAGCGGTAGTCTTCGGAAAGGTGAAAGAACTCTATTGAATACTTGCGCCGGGTATTTAATGTTCGGCTCCGCCCGAACTTTGACTATTTTACTTGTTAAGAAATAATTTAGGCGATCGGTTATTTAAATAAAAATGGAAAGGTTAGTAATTTTTAATAATGTTTTTTTTGGTATTTGAATTTAAAAATTGGAATGTTGTATTCAATAAAAAGTTTTTAAGGGTTGTAAATCAAACCTGCGCCACTAAATAACTACTCGCTCGAGGCGACAAACATGAAAAACTTTAAACTTGACAAAATTGTAAGTTCTTTTCGATTGACGCTGCACCAGTTGAGAGGTCTTTCAGTTAGATTTTTTTTTTTATTGCGGTGCAATAATTCTTTTTTGAGAATTGCATCGGGCTGCAAATGTCGGATGTATCCTCCTGACTTCCATCTTCACAACCTTGCATTATGGCAAGATCGTTGTTTAAACATTCATTAATTTTTAATCCTTTCTTCTGTGACTGAAATAGCTTTTAAGCAGAAATAACGAAAGAAGGTTACCACCTCTATTTGTATTTTTTATCATTTAATACTAAAGAAATTCATATACCAGACCCATGGTTTGATCTATGGTAATTAATTAACATTTTTTATTTTATTGAAATATTTTTCAATGGGTGGCTTTGCTCGTTTAGACATTTCCTTCATTTGGTACCAAACTTGTTTAATTTGGTTAAGAGGTTTGTTTATTATCCGGAAAAGACTTTTAATTGGGAATAAAAAATATTTGGCCAAGTTTAACTGTTAAAAAAAAAAACTGTTATTTTCGGTCCCTTCAATATTCGCATTCGCAAAAGATCCGCATTGATTATTGCGAATGCGAAAGCGAATGCGAATATTAAAGATAATGCGGAAGCTCCGCGGTTGCGAATGTGAATGCGAATATTCGCAACAACCCTGATACATACATAGAAAAGGTAATGCAGCATTTTCACTGCATTTTAAATGCAACATTTAGCACTTTCGAACATATATTTTCGAAGAGCGTTCATGTTATCACATTTACCAAATGAACATTTACACGAATTGGAAGTTGTAGGCTTTCAACAAACAGTCGTGTTCCAGTCGCTTATTCAGATCCGTATCTACCACGATCAATTCACACGGAGAAAAAACACCTACTCAAAAAAAAAAAAAAAACTATTAAACAACAAATTTAATACAAAAACCTTAATTTGTCGGTGCTATCAATAAAAATTGCCTAAAATAGTTATGAAACAAAACAAACAGAGTTGATCACAAATTGATTCATCACATAGATGTTGGATTAGCGGGACTTCTTTTAATCAAAATAATGTAAAATAATGAATGAAATCTCCATCGGCGATCACTGAAACGCAGCTAGCAACGTATACGCGAAAACTCAGTAAACCATGTTCGAATCGTGGTATTTTTCGGAGATCTCAGGGTTGCTTTTAGCATTTAGTTTCTAAATGCAGAAATGAAGTTGCATTTAGGTGCTGAATGTAAGGCTAACATAGAATGTTTGGAAATAAAATTTGTCAAGAAATTGTAGAGACCTTATAGCATTTTCGCTAGTTACTCAAGTGCTATTCAAAAATGAACAAAGGGTCAATTCTTGATCTGCGTTACTGCGAAGTTATAAAAATACACCGCATTTATTTCAGTGTTAATTTTATACTTTTCACTTCACTTCACGATAATGCAGAACGGGAAGGTTTGTAAAGGAGCACTGATATAAGTGTCATGACGTGTTTATTTATACCTAAAATATTAGTTACCTTCTCATTGTGGTCGAAGTACACCATAAAAGCTATAGATTCTAAAGTAAAATACTACGAAAGTTTGCATTTATTAACTGAAGATTCGTTTGCTCTTTTGCAAACCCGAAGAGATATTCGATAACGAAGAACACTTGTTAAGAGAAAGCGATTTTCACTCACTGCTTAACATGGTACATCGCTCATAAGAGCAGCTGACTGCCATCACTTGACAATTGTAGGCCAAATGTCATAACCAAGCAGACAATAGACAATGAGAATGGTAATGGAAGAACGTGTGTATGATTAATGGAGAAAGCAAAGCAATGAAAAGCGGAAAGCCCAATTTGTTGCATTTCGCATACGGTCAACAAGCCAAACATCATACGTGCGAACTACCACGTTGGGTGGCGCTCATCACATACGCAAAGAAATTATGATAGGTTAGACATGATGGTAATAGCACTGACATTTGAAATACATATAGAAAATGATGGTAAATTGTGAGACTTTTAAAAAACAATAATGTGAATATACATACATACATATCTATGCATGTACGCTCTATAATAGTGAATGATTAGACAATTGGTTATCTCAGTGCGCCATTTAAATAACCTCTGCATGTAATAATAAATTGTCATTTGAAAGCGGACAAAGTGGAGCAGAAACCCACCGGTTAAAACCCTCTTCGTTGCTCATTTCATTATGAAGCTCTTCATGTACTTGGTGCACAAGTGTATTGGTTATTGGTAAGAAAACGAATGTGTAGAGAAATTTGAAGAAAGGTAGCCGATTTTGTGGCATGGAAGGTACCAACTCGCTTGACGATCAAACAGTCATCGCGCATGCGTCAAGCGGCCTAGAAAGACCAGTTGTTAAGTTGTTAGCGTAGCGAAGCGAAAGGCAAATATAAACGAATCGGTATCAAAAAAGAAAGTGCACAAAATATTAAAAGAAATATTCACGTGGAATTTTACTTGTGTGTAAAATACGAAAAAAGTACAAATAAGCAAATTTTAATTTAGAATAAAGTGAAGTGAAAATCACAACAGCAGTTGGGTGTCGAAGAGTTGTAAAAGTTGCAAATAAGTTGGCTGCTTTACAACGATTCTGAAAGCATCGAACAAATTCTGCAAACTGAAAAATCTAGAATTATTGCAGCCAAAGGGAGAATAGCGAAAAATTGCGTTGCAGTTCAACGTACGTGGAGTAAGTACCGCAGGTGTGACGGCTTTAAAGTGCACTCAAAGAATACAACTAGCAAATGAAATTCAAAGTCACATTGAAATAATGAGAAATAGCTGGAGTACAATAAAAATGTAATAAATTAAAGTAAAATAGTAAATAAATTACAATACAAGTAATTTTTAAGCAAAAAACACAACCGACTTCAAATCTCATTTAAAAATTTAGGAGTGCCGTTAATTTCCTCATGATACAATGATCGGATTTAAACCAAATTAATATGGGACCACCTCAGAGACACTACCTTTTCGATAGAAAAAAAGAGTTCTCAAAATCGGTTGACGTGCTCCAAAGTTATGTGGTAACATACGTACAAAAAAAATAATATTCCGACGAATTGATAAACTCTCCTTTTTCTGCAGTCGCTTAAAACATAGCAAAATAAAGGTTTTATAGCTAAAATGTTGTCTGGACACACAACATTGCAAGTTGATAAAAGCGTGGTAAAAAGAAAATAATGGGGGTAACTAGTAAAAAAAAAATGTGGCCATTTTGGTGATTTCTTTTAAACTATTCCCCACAAATATTTGAATGAAGATTAACATTATGTTAACTTTAAAAAATGTAATCGTTCCCACCGCCTGCATTGTAGGGCGATCTAAAAGTTCCTTATGGTGGGAGTATTTGCTTCGTTCATGGCAGAAATGTTACTTTTGGCAAATGAAATGTTAGACGTTGATGTAAGAAAACCCAGGACTTATAGTCGCTTAAATCCTCGAAACAATCTGCTATCTCAAAGGGGGAAGAGTACTATAAAGTTTCTGCATATGTACGTACCATTAATCGAAACGGTCAAAGAAAATTTGAGGACGAGCTATCCCAAAGACGTCCTTAAATGTTTCAATCTAAAGCAGGGATGACATGATTTGTACATTTTCACAGTTACAGAGTACTGTTGTTTGGAAAGTTGTCATTCGGCTGAACTCATTATCGATCAAAATTTCTAGACAACACCACCCTGTCACTGCCAAATGTGCAAACCGTCTGATCCCTGTTTAAATCTGCAGTTACCTAAGCTCAAAATCCATTTAGAAGAAAAAGATACCATTGACCATTTCCTCAGATATCTAACAGCCTGGCTAAATTTTTTAAAATAACACTTTCTTTATAATAACAAAGCAGGTCCGGCAATGTTCAACTACGGTAAAGAAAACTATTTTGGTGTTGAACATAAGAGAGCCTTGCTCGGTCCTAGTTTATGGAAACTGCACTAAGATGATCCCTTCTGACTCTGGATAGATTATTTCAACAACTGCTTTGGTCATCGGTTTCTGGACAGTACCCAAGATGCGAAATCTTGCTTCGGTTAAATCATTGAAATGCTATGTTGAATTTGTGGACAGAGTACTCTTATCGAAAGAGCTCTTTTCTTCCGCCTGAATCGACTCTAAGATATAAAATCTTGACTAATGTAAAAAAAAGGTCTGTCCCGAGTGACCTAGGGAAATTTATATAGAACAACAGAATAAGGCCTTGCAATTATTCCTTTTTAAAAACCACGATTCACAATTCACTTCAGTCTGTACATCACACTGTAAAGAAGCAGCTTAGCATGGCTTTAAGCGCTTAAATATAGCGAGCGTTAACTTTATGTCTAGTGCTTTCCAGCTTTCCCTATCAGAACTACTATGTGTACATAGATCATAGGAAAACTGCCGTTTCGGAACCTTGTCATAATTTTCACAGAAAATAAGATATCTTTACAGCGTCTAATATCTATTAATTGTATTGGTCTTTATTAGGGCTCCATTCATTTTAACAATGATAGTGTGCAGAGACGGTTTAAGGCGCGAAATTAGTTAGTTATTAGAGTAAAGTGCGTAGGCCATTATTTGAAGCACACATTTGTAGGAGTTTTTCTTAGCTTTCGTTGTGAAGCACAGAGTTGTAATAAAATGAACATTACACTAATTTCCAAACAATTTATATGCGCCTGTACATCTACATACATACTTTTAACTTAAGTATTCTTCAACTAGGTCGTACCTATGTGGAAGTGTGGGCGTCTAGCATTATTCAAAAGCCGCTGCATTAACCTACTTTGGGCGTAGCATTTCTCTTCACTTACGCACATACTAAGGGTGACATAAAATTTAAATTTAGTTCCTCTATTAATAAATAGATAAGTATGACAAATAACTATGCAAATCAAAAGGCATCAGCATTTGATTTAAACAATTTGATTAACTGCTCAGTGAATAGCAAACCTGTACGTTTACTAACAAGGGCAAAGGGGCCTTGAACTTGACTCGCAACCAACTGCGATTATTTTGTCTGCTCTATTCAGCCACTTTTTCCTCATGCCAGCTGGTTTTCGTGGTTAATCGAGTTAATCCAGCCAACTCTGTTTTGCATACACATAGCAAAACAGAAGCAAAGATAAAACCTAAGAAGCGTTCAGAAATGAGGTTTGATTGCAAAGCGGTGCGAGTGGTAAATGAAAACCCGTTCTTTTATTGCATTGTTGCAAAATTTAAGGTATGTTTCGTAACAAAGTAAAACGTAAAAAGTGCGGCAAATGGAAATGTCAGTAATGGAAAGGAAAATTAGAGATAGTTATAAAAAAAAAAATTGTGAATAAGACAGCAAAGACATAAATACCTTCACACCTACTTATGTATTTAGCTTCACTGTATTGGTCAACGAGGAGTATATCGTTTTTTGTTGATAATTTTTTTTTTTGCTCGCTATTATTGCACTTGTTATGCCGCTTCGTGGCGTTTTAAAAGTTATGTAGTGGTATAGCGTTTAATTTCACTTTCAAATATTAAATCTGCTTGTTGCGCTAATGTATTTATTTATGTACATTAGGGGTAGGAATTTTCGCAAGTGATGCGTATTTTTAAGTTCCCAGCAAAAGCAGATGATGAAATGGTTTAAATTACGAGTATAATAGGAATATATTGTTGTGGATCGAAGCATGTAAGCTAGGGTGGTCCAAAAACGCTTATGAAAAAGTAAAGTCGGAATTCTTATACTCCCACCCCCTAGGATTGTTCTATACCGAAAAAATATACCCCTATTTTTTATTTTGAAATCAAAAAAATTCTTAGAGGTCGCTCAAAGCTCTCAAAGTTTTCCATGCATTTTATATGGGAAAAACAACTTTTCGTAGAAATGGCATAGAATTCTTGAAAAACAATATTTTTTCGACCGGAAAACTGTGTTTCTCTCCGAAGGAGATTCCCAATTATTTTTCTAACAATTTTTTCATAGTAACTATATTTTATAGGTCCGCCAAAACCCCAGAAATGCCAGAAAATGCAAAGGAGGATAAAGAAAAAATCTTTAGTATTAAAAAATGGTTAAATAGACAACTGCGTATTGTTATTGGAAGTTTCCTGAAGAGAACCAGAGTTTTCCTATCTAAAAATATTGATTTTCAAGAATTCCTTACCATTTTCACGAAAAGTTGTTTTTCCCCCATATAAAATGCACGGAGAACTTTGAGCGCTTTTGATTTCAAAATAAAAAATAGCGGTATAGAGTAGAGTAAAAACATCAATAGAACAGAAGCGTTATAGCCCAGACAGTTATTTAACCCCATTACAAACCTAATTCGGGCGCTAACTGCCGAATAAATTTTTTTTTAGTTATGTAAGTGCCAAAATTATTAATACACGGATTGCCAGCTGTTGGTTGTCTGTTATGAACGAAACAAAGATGCCTCCTACTACAACTCATTAGGAAGTATTTAGGTTGATTCCCTGGCCTAAGCAACATCCACAAATTATTGAAAATTTTTTTTCTAACAGATAACTCCCTTCGGCAGCCAATTTTCTCGCAATATGCCGCGTGTAGTTTTATTTTAGTTTTTATTTATATTTTTTAATATTGCCTCCGGTAGGGGTACAAGTTTAATCGGACTAATTGCTCCGATAATCCGGATTAAAGTTGTTATCTTCTATGCTTTTACTGTTCAGGATCTAACTTCGAACCGCCTCTCAAAGTGGTGGAATAGCCCATTCGTGCTTAAGCTGTAAATTCTTTGCAGTGTTCAGACTTACCTGCAATTGCAGAAGATCTGCTGTACTTTTGAGCTGTTAAAATAATTCTAATGCGTACTGCGAAAAAGGACTGAAAAATGGTTTATTGTTTAAATCGGGGATCAAAAATAACAGTTATTTTCGAAATTTCAAATCAAGAAATTAGACAGAAAGCATTTTTCTATTTGATATTTGAGTATATATGTATAGCAGTGTGATGATTGTTTGCTAAGGAATATTAATCTTAAATGATTTCCTGCTAAAGTCTAGACAAAGAAGTCTCTTGAGGAAATGCCGTGATGTTTTAATTTTTCCTAAACAAACAAATCGTGGTACAAAGATCAATAACTTTGCTTAAAAAAATTAATTGATTTAAATTTTTTGGATTTTTTCTAAAAAGTCGACTACTCGTCATTTTTTTACCGGTATTTTTTTAGTAAAAAATAACAGTTATAATTTGGTTCTTATATTTTCAATCTAATATAACAGTTAAAATTTCACTTTTATTTTTTTGATCAAAAGTAAAAGTTAAAATGTTACTTGTATTTTTTCGATAAAAAAATTCAAAACGTGGATTGAAAAAATTAGTTCAAAAGTTAACATTTACTATTGATGGAAAAATAAAAGTAAAAATTTAACTATTAGTTTTAATTAATAAATTAATTAACAAATTGCACCTTTGTTAAGTAAAATTGATAAACAACTACCTTCAACGCAAAAGTAAGTAACAAGTACTTTGCAGGTTAGAATTGCTAAGGGGGCATTTCAACATGATGAGTGGGACATATTAACTCGTTTTTGCTTAAACTTTAAAGTAATTTCTCTTCAACCATTAATTTTACAAGTTTCAAAATTTTAACACTTGAAGTCGGATATCAGATTATTACGAAACAAATAAAGTATAAAACTTAGTTATACATATAATTTACCCAATTTACCGAAGACAATTACGTCGGCCGCTGTGGTGTAGTGGTAAGC